GGCCCTGCTTTTATTGTAATTGTGCAATAAAGTCTAAACTACTGTGTGATTGTTAGGCGGCTCATCTGGCTTTCTGGCTTCTTATAACTGACTGAAGGGAGCGCTTTTCTTTTGTCCCCTTAATTAGTGGAACTTTGGTCCTGATTCGCCTCCACAGAGCAAATAAAATACAAACTGTCTGTGATGTAGTGGCAGCATTTTAATTAAAGCTGCTCGGCTAATCCTTTTAAGGGTCACTTCCAGAAGTTAAGTAATTTCTCAGAGTGATCTGCATGATAAATGCCAACAATTATGCAGGATTTGCAGTAAGGGAATAATAAAACTCTCGTATGCTGTGGTAAACTATATTCTGTTATTTTCATTATTAGCCATTAGCTGTGGAAGATGTGAAAAACTGGAGCACTGATGTGTCTTTTTAATCAGTGTGCCTAACTACAGACATCCACTGACTTATTCTGTGACGTAGGTGTTTTCCCATGTGCGGAAATGTCCGGATAATACATTCAAACTTTGTTTCCATACCTATATCACCACACAGACATGCAGTGCTGTAATTTTCCACGTTTATATTTATGCTCCTGCAGTTCCTTCTTATTTTTATCCCATTTCTCTTTGATGTTTATTACAACTTGCAGCTGGAACGGCCCAGTTTCCCCACAAGGAAAACTGAGGTTTCATCAAAGCTAATCTGATCTAGTTACACTCAATTTAAATCTCTTTGGAGAGAGCTGAATGCCTGCAGCAACATGTGGTGCTTTTTTCAACCTTGTGATATGCACTCGCTTAATAAACAGAAGATTTTTTTCTGTATTTTAATGCTTTTTGACAAATAAAGTTCTGCTGTCTATTACAAAGACATGAAGAGCTCTAATTTAGAGCAAATTAAGATTATTTTAATCCCAGCTGTATCAGACAGTTATGTCCCTGAGAGCACAGCAGAAATGAATGAGCATCACAAGCAAACGTACTTGTTTAGTGTGTCTGACTGACTGGCTTATCTCATTCCAGCATTGTACACTTACTGCACTTGATAACACTGCTGTGATATCCAGGCTGTGACCCACTGGGATCTGTTTTTAGGTGGTCCAGGGGACACAGAACAGCGTGGAGCTGAGCTATCTGAACTCTCTGACAGAGTACCAGGTGGCTGTTTTTGCCGTCTATCGCAGCGCCGCAAGTGAAGCCCTGAGAGGAAGTGCTACTACATGTAAGTTTATATGTTTACGCATTCAAACAGATGGAAGCAGGAAACATGGTAGTAAGCACCATGCAGCATCTGATGGTCTGTAAGGCCCATTTTGAAGCCTCAATTGCAACAATATTGGCGTCTTCATTGAGACATGTTGAAGCTAACAGTGACTTCTCTGCTAATGCTAGCAAACCTGGTGCAGTCACCTTGCAGTCCTGTTGCCTTTGAGTTGGGGACCAGGTCTGCGACCAGTCATAGTCAGTTTTTTCATGCATTAGTTCAGAGTGGAAATGAATGCAGTATGTTTGTGAAATTACAAACCTGTTACTACCTACATACACAGAAAGCCACACTAACTCTTTATACAAAGTTTTGTCAGAACCTCACAGATTTGAAACAATCTGTGGTTAGCACTGTTGCCCCACAGCAAGAAGGTCCTGAGTTCAGTTCCACCATCAGGCCGGGTCTTTCTGTGTGGAGTTTGCATGTTCTCCCCGTGTTTGCGTGGCTTCCTCCCACTGTCCAACGACATGCAGCTTGTGGGGATAGGTTAATTGGATAATCCAAATTGCCATTAGGAGTGAATGTGAGTGCGAATGGTTGTCTGTCCCTGTGTGTTGGCCCTGCGACAGACTGGCGACCTGTCCAGGGTGTACCCCGCCTCTCACCCTATGACAGCTGGGATAGGCTCCAGCGCCCCCCGCGACCCTGAGAAGGATAAGCAGAAGAGAATGGATGGATTCAGAATTTCGTCTACAAACAGTTACACAGTTTAGTGATGCAGGGACTCGGCAGCCGTGCTTTTATGAAGATGTGTAAGCAGAATGCAGCCAGTTGGCAATCAGCTGAGTCGAGTCTTGAGTTGCAACGTGACATCTTGTGGCTAAGTTGCGCTCATAGCTCATCGTTACAGACTGAGACTGACTGTAATGTGTCAGCAGTTTATTTGCATCTATGATCGAGATGTGATTACCTGCAAAAACCGGTGAATGTGTCTGAGAGCGACTGCAGTTCCTTTGAGTCAGACGGGTTCCCTCCCACTAAGAGGCCTGAGCCATCGCCAGTGGTTGAGGGTGTTTCACATTCAGGTGAACGTTTGGTGACCGTGACTACTTCAAATTGTTCAAAGAGCTCCAAAAGGCATCGCCAGCACAAACACAGGTCAGGGACGAGATGAATTCATTAATACATTTTTAATTAATGAATTAATTTTTCATATTTCTGTTGTAACTTGGCTTGGTAGCGGTTGATTCACTTTTGGATTGAGTCTCAAGCGGCCGTTTGAAGAACTGTGAAAACCACACGATGAAGATTTACCTACATGTCGCAGAGGCAAATGAACAATGTCCATTTGAGCCTCATTTAAGAATTAAGTCCCAAATGAGGGATCTGAACTCTTCATTTTTCCCAGCATGCACCTCTTCTATTATTCACTATCGCTCTCAGTCTTAAACCTCCAAGGCAGTCTTCCCCTGGGATCTTTCATTGTGCTGTTAATTCTCTGCATCAAACCATTTCTGCTTCTGTGCAGTAGAAATGTGTTCTTGCTCACACTGAAGAGAAAGACTCAGTGTTAACCTGCAGAGCTTTTAATCATTTATTTATTGCTTTAATTTTGCTTTGAAGAAACTGACAGGACCGAGATGAACAACACACCTTTGGTCCTTTCACTCAATTCCAATGAAGCCAATTTATGACTGTTGAGTTGCAGCATCCGTAATAGCAGTGATAGAGCAGCAGACATGTGTTGTACTACAAAGGAAAACAGTGAATTTGGGCCATAAAAGCTACACAGGTGTTTCATTATTTATTCGTGGCCCGATCCTCCTCTGACAGGATGCCTGTGGCGAGCTCTAATTCTGGTGGTATTGCCTGAGGCCTCGTGCTGACATGTGTACCCCGAGCCAGAGCCTGGCTGGATTCTCTGACCTTCTCGACCTGGCGTTCGCTGACGAATGACAGGAGATTCCTCCCTGTTGGTCGAGGATGAATGCAAAGTCACAAGTTGACCTTGTAGCAAAGTTAATGTGCTGTGGCTGTTTGCTGCAAGCTGCCACTTCTGCCCTGCTGCACTGTCTGGTTAAGGCAGCAAATTAAACATGATGCTAGGTACTAATTGATTTGGGGGTTTGAGCAGAGTGTGGTACAAAAGTGGAACATTTATCAAAGCAATAAGTGAGGACTTTAGTCGTGCTGTCCGACTTTGAAATATATTCGATTTCATGAAACCAGACCTCCATTTCAATCACATCAACTGCTTGACTTAAAATACACTGTGGTGGTTTGCAGAGGCAAAACTACACCACGTCGACCGTCGGCCCAAAGCTTCAGGACCTGGTTGTAAATCTCATTAGTCTCTTTTCTAGTTAAAGCTCGTTTGGCTCATTGCCGTGCAGGACAATGACCCCTGAATAACTGCTGTTTTTAACAACCCTGACATTGTGCATTACTGTTTAAAATACATCAAAGAAGATTTGGATTTCTGTTTAATCATGCATGAACTTACAAGACCTAATTTACTTCTGTTGCTGCCGGAGAGCCGTAGGATAACGAATTCCTTAGACTTTAGAAAAGGGCGAGTTTTCTATGAAATGTGAATTTTCAGGACTTGTCTGGCCCAAAACAGTCGAAGGTTAGTGTAAAAGTGCCAGATCACTGTTTTAGGTAAGATTTAATCAGCTACACTTATTGTTTAAAAGTAAATGTGTCAAAGGAAGAAACGCCGTCATCCAAACCCTGTGCTTGTGTCCGACAGTGGCCCTGCCCACGGTGAACAGCCTGGAGTTGTTTGATATTACTCACAGCACTATGCGGGTCCGCTGGAAGGCCGTCGCTGGGGCTTCTGGGTACATGATCCTGTACGCCCCGCTGACTGAAGAGGACGCTTCAGATGAGAAGGAGGTGAGGAGTGTGCTCGTGTGCAACGAGAGTAAATGTGAGGCAAAGAATGAGCTGTATGATGCAGAGCAGGGTGCTCTCTGCTGGGCGCCAGCTTCTTTTCCAAAACAATGTTTCCTCAGATTTCTTTACATCATACAACGTTCCTCACAGGCCTACTTTAAACTCTGATCCAAGTAAAATATCTCCTACTTTATGTCATTTTAAAAGCCATTCAAATATAGTGTTCAAAACTTTGTGAAAGTAACTGAACTCCTGTGCTGCCTTGTGTTTATTAATTGATGAAGTCCAGTTGCCCTCATCAATTAGTCCATATTTCAAAAAACGAGACGCCAAAATGTTGACAAAGAGACTTTAATCAGGCTGTAATCAATCTGAGTGGTAAGCAAAGACTGTGTTAGTGTGGCTGAAAAATGTGGTTTTTAATATGTGCCAGTGTGAATATTTAACATCTTACAACTCAGCATTGTTTATCGGAAAAACATGAGCTGAATTCTTGATGTTGAGACTGATGATGGAAAAAACCAAACGACTCCGCTGCTCCAGGTCATTGTGCTCACCTGATGCGCCGCTCTCAGGCTTGGACACATCATCCAATGAAGGCTGCTCTCTGGTCACTGACGTATAGACCCAGCTCTCATCAGCAGAGTATTTCAACATGAGAGGCAGCAGTGATGGAAGAGTTGATATTTGCTCTTTGTCGAAGTTTGAAGTCTAAGACGTCCAGCCAGACAGGAAGTGGTCCTGTGGTGCAGGCGGCGACCCTGGAGGAGGTTCAACCAACTTTACTTCAGGCATTTTTAGTCAAACAGAGTAACCGTACTGTATGACTGCACATCGTATACTTTATAGAAGCAGAATTCTGGATGTGCACTTTTCATATTGTTAACTCCAACACTGTTAGAGTTAACATGGATGTCATATGGTTTGATATAACCAATAAGCCAGCATTCAGGTTTCTGGTGTGATGAACAGTCTTTTGTTAGAGTGAACATGAATAGAAAAACTTGAACTATAACTTCAAATACCTGCAGGTTTGAGCGGAAGAAACTTTGGACTGAATGTAATCAGCAGCTCAGGATCTCACAATTTGACTTTTTGACTTTGGAGAAAAATCACAGGATATCGTTGGACATTTGCATAACAAAGACTTTCTGCGCCTGTTGACTTTTGTCTGTGGTTTTGCTTCTCGTTTGGTATTTTTGTCTTCGGCGTTCGCAGGAATTCCACCTAAATTTGCTTTGAAATAGTCTATTAAAGACGGTGACTGTCGGAGCTGACAGACTGCTAATTTGCATTCAGCTGAATAAAGTTGACCTTCTTAGATGTCTTTGTAATTATAATTGAGTTGCTTCAAAGTAAACGTCTGCTTTCATGTGCCGTTTCTGTTATTTTTCTTCATATTCTGTATGTTTGACTACTTTGTACTATGAGTCTCAGGAAGGAAACAAAGGAAGGGGGATGGAAGGAAACACGTACCAGAAATATCAGATAATATTAGAGAAAGCGGTGGCAGGAGAGAGTCTTTAATTCACTCTAATAAACAGCACGGCTGATCCTGAGCCACCTTTCAGTGTCCCCACCATGCAGGAGTCAAAAAAGTGCAGCCACCCTCTGAGTCACAGTAATATATCTTTAAAAACTGTGACCAATTAGAGGACAAAACACAACCAAAGCATCAATTACACCTTAAAGACTGAATAACACTTCAAAGTGAAACAGGCACGCATACAGTTGATTGGAAAGAAGACATTAAAAGCAAACAGCAGGACAGACTGGAACATGGGGATCTTTTGCAGGTAAATTCAGCAGTTAAGGAAGACGAGACATTCAAAGGAGAGGAGGAGAGGTATGAAGGGCACAGTCAGCCGTCCTTATCCCTCCTTCTCCCATTAGACCTCATTATGCCTACCGTCACATTCGCCTCCAGGCAGAAAGCAATAAAAACAATTTAGGAAGGAATTTGGAATCAGGATGGATGCTTTCCAGCGGTGAGGATAAGCCTGGCTCTGAGGCACTCCGTCAGAGCCCAGGCTTGGCTGGCTGGTCCTCGTGTGGCTTCCACTTATGGGCCATGCGGGGACTTGTCTGGGCCAAAGCCAGCCTCAAATCCAGCCCAGTTTGACTGGAAAAGTGCTTTCATTCAAACAGGGACCCAGTGTAGGTCTGCACAGACTGAACCCGAGGGAGAGAAAGGACGAGCACAAATGTGAACAAGAGGTAGATCTTACAGCAGGATGTGACTCCAACGGTCCCCGAAGCTGCTTAATGTGTCCACGCCAAACAAACACAGCAGTAACACGAATGTGGTGCACGTAACAAAGGGGCCTTCTTGTCGAGCAAGAAATGCTTCAGCTCATGTACATCGGCCCGGGTCCAACCCTACACCCACATCAAGCACCGCTCCAAACCTACTAGCTTTAACTGGAGGTGAGTGATGAAGCCAACTCAGAGTCGACACCAATGCAGACTCCACCTGCTTTGAGTCAGGAACGGAGGAAACTCCACAAATATAACTGTGGTTCTAAGAAGGGTTGGACTCTGCTGGGTAAATGAAAGCAAAGGGACGAGATGATGTTTAAAGGCGGTGATAGAGAATAATGTTCTTTCAATAGGAGCAAAGGGGCAGTGACCTTTATTTAAGTAAAATTCCACGTAGATCCATTTTGATTGTTGATGGTTATGTAGGTCATGTGCGCTTCAGAAAAGGAAACTGTATTTCCTTCCTCTGCACAGACAAGAAACAGGGTTAAGAAATTCCTCCTGTGTGCCAAGCTACTTAGAAAATGTATGACCTGAAGTCTTTTACGGTGTTTATCGCAGAAAACAGACAAAATGAAAAAAGTCAGCAGATTAAATAGGTCACATTCTACTAAAAACACAAAACATGCTTTAATACCCCTCCTGTAATGATGGTAGACGCTCATATCAAACCGAGACAGAATTTGAAGTGGTAAGATGTGGACATGCAGCAGCTCTGGCTTCACTCTACATTAGTTGGTCTTCAAAGAAGAGGATCTAAAATCGCTGCACCAAGTCTTTGTAAAGGAATAAGGATTTTTTAAGGATGCAGAGTCGCTTTGATAGAATCCAAGAATAAAAATATGAAGTGAGAAACAAGCAGAGTTGGTCCTCTTTAAGCCATCCTATCCGATTGCAGCAGCTCTGATTCTGATTGAAATTCCTACTTCAGTGTGAGAAAGGCAGGGGCGTCCCAAAGCTCGGCGGTTAGAGTCTATTCAGAAAATTGTCTCAGGATAAAAAGAGATAAAGCCTTTAGTTATTTAGCTGTTACATCTTAGGCCAAAGATAAGGTGGAAATATTCTAAAATGAGGTAAGAAGTAAAAAAAACCTGTGAAAGTATTAACAGTAGTTATTGATCACGTTGAACCTTCTGGCTGATTGTTCCTGTTGTACGTTGTAGTTCTCTAAGGAAACAACAAAAGCCATTTGTTGTATTATGTCTGCATCCAGTGTATGTTTGGCAGAATAAGCGATGGTGAAGTTGAATATTTGTGTGCGCGCTGTGCAAGCAGCTGCAGACTGGTTGAGTTCTGTGTTGGCGATTGAGATGAAACAAATCGGGCTCTGTGGGGACAGAAAGGTCTGTTTCAGCTACGCAGACAAGCTCCAGCTGCAAAGCAGAAAACAGCCGATGTTTTTCTCACATTTTAAAATCGACCACTGCGGTCCTGCAAACGGAGTTTCATCATCTTCCTTTGTTCTGAGTTTCAGCTCTGTAGATGTGGGACATACTGCAAGAGCCTGATTGGCCCCTCCTGCTTAATGTAAAAGGAAGATCTCCATATTCAGAAATCATCTCATGCAATCACACTTTAATTCTCTGCTTGCCTGGACGAGACTGCTGATGATAGAAGAGTAGACGTGCAGAGAGATGAGTAACAGGGTGGATAAACGACTGCATGAAATCCACTGACAAGACAGAGATTTAAAGGATCTACTAGAAAGTCTCTGCGTCTTCGCTAAATCCACATACCTGCTGTGTGTGCGCAGGTGAAGGTGGATGACTCGGTGACTGAGGTGGAGCTGGAAGGATTGACTCCAGCTACTGAGTACACAGTGACAGTTTACGCCATGTACGGAGAGGAAGCCAGTGACCCCATGACCAGCCAGCAGACCACATGTAAGTCTAACATGCAAAACACTCCCATCATCAAATATTTCTTTGATCTGTTGTTAGCAGCCAATACATGAAGAATGAAGCCAAAATCTTCAGTTCGCCAAAGATTCTCATGTCTCAAGTCTCAAGTATCTGTTTAAGGCTTAAACTTGAGCATCACTCGAGCCACAGGCCCAGCCCGGCTCTCTGCTCGGTGCCACCTTAGCTAACAGGCGCTGGTCCTCATGGCCACTATTTGTGTTTTTGGTGCCATTAGTAGCTTTTTAATGGAATTATCTGATACCTGAACATGGATTATTATGTGGCCGATTGGTGTAATAAAGTTGTTGTATTTTCTGTTAATGTTATTTAGATGATTAACATTCATAATAATAATCAAACAAGTTTTCTAGGATTTGCTAATAACACTGTTAGGTCTCCAGAACATTGTCAAGCTTTGGCTGAACCTTCAAAACAGGCGTCCAAGCCGATCAGTCATGACAGAGTGGCTACATTTATGCTTTATATACAGTCTGTGGTGACATGCAGACTTCACTGCTTGGACTTGTCCTGTTGGCAGCCATTAAACTTTGGCTGATTCTTGACTGAACGACATGGATCCACCTCAAACTCTGGCTGAAAAATAAAGTGTTGATCTGATCACCAGAGTTATGTAACGACAATGTTGACGTCATCCAGGTCACACAAATATCAGCATCACAGTTCAGGAGCTTCAAGTGTAGGGTTGTGCCTGCATAAACAATTTCAGTCAATATTTAAACATGCAAATACTTTTTTAAAGACACAAGCCTTCACAAATATTCCACGAGGGCTTTGTAATCCTTCACACACTACAGCCGGATACAGTTTAAAAATGAGGCGCAGGCACACAGTTTTCACAAAGTGTCCTCATCTTCTTTTAATGTCCTGGGAGTTGAGATCTGAAAGAAAGGCAAACTGGTCCTCGCAGAAATGGAAATATAAGGTCGCACATATGCTTTACTAACTGTTGGTGAAATTCAATTTCATTAAATCCCCGACAGATTGTGTGACCCTTTGAACTCGAGTCACTGCTATTCTCATCTCTGAAAGCAGCCGGCACATTTTTCATTTTCCTCAGGAACTGTCAGCTGTCTGATCAGGAGGAAACCACATCTCCAAGCACTTAAACCTACATCCTCCATGTACAAACCTCCAAACCCTTTATCAGCTAATTTCTTTCATTATCTTTTTTATGTGTTTTCTAATCAGAGGGATCAGCTGCCGCAGACATATTTGCTTTTCATTTGCTGAGTGTTTGCTCATAGTTTCTTCCCAGACGGCTGCAGCGTGCTGAAGTCCTGTCCCAACACGTATCCTGCTCCTGACAAACTAGCAGCCAGCAATGCCAAATTCTCTACATGGCGCCAACTTTGATTCCCTTATTCCAGCTATTTTCTGCACCTCGCTGTCATTCTGTAGAGTTTTGATGAGAGTAACTCGGCGCTCCGCCCACCCTAAATCCCCACTGTGCTCACTAATTAACATTTTATGAAGTCTCCTTTAAGGTTTGAGGCCTGCGGCTTTAAGTCAGGGCATGTTTATGTCTTTACGGTGTGTGTAAGGCTTTGGATGCGGGTCAGAAGAGGACACTCTGTCAAATACATTTTCATAATAAAATAACTTTTATTGTTCCATGCAGGCAGGACTTAATGCCCTTGAATGAAGATGGGACACATTAAGTTTTGGTCATCGTCTTTGTATCGGCCCCGTTCCCTGAAATATTCCTTCTGCATTATAAAAACGAGGTTCCTCGTTAGCTGCACACCACATGATGCAAATGACGGTCGTGATGTGCTTTTCACTCAACGAGCTTGTTCGTATTCATTCAGTCTGCCTCTCTGTGTCATCAGAGGCCTCTCATCCCTCATTTCCTCTCGTCATTTAACTGTCGTTTCTTCCATTGTTAAGACAAAATGTGCTTTAATGATCATTGCAGTGAAACGAGGCCGTTGCACATGCAAATGGGTTGGATTTCTTTTTCTTTGAAGGAGCATGATGGAGATTAAAGATAAAGACTCATACAAAATCAGACTACAGAGAGCTTTGCACATCTTCCCACTTTGTGGTTTTACAACCAGAAGCAGGTCGTGAGTCCACAGAATGCAGATTTGATTTTGAATAGTTTTTTTCATTGGTTGTTTGTTATTTAGCTGTAGCTCTAAGTGTGTGCGCTTGCAGAGGTTATACATGTCATGAGAGACTTGCAAACACTTGATCCTTTTTATATAAGAAAGGATTTAAAACAAAAAGGGCTTTTTTTTTCAATAATTTAGCTACAATAAAAAAACTGAATATTCTTCTGTGGAAATGGGACACTCAGAATCAAGAACTGCACTACAGAAGCTGACAGATGTTTGAAGGTTTCTTGTGCTTCCCACACAACTTTTTAATGACATGCAAATCTCCAGTTTGACTTGGCCAGTCTGTATCCGTCCATTTTCCTTTTTTTGTTTGTTTGAGGGGTTTTTGGGGATATTTTCTCATTGGTCCCCTTTAGCTCTCAGAGACATGGCTTCACTTTGTCTTCAAGCATTCTTGGACATGATGTGGTGTGATGCAGAATTCAATTACTAATCACACTGTGCTCTTCAAGCTGCCCCATCATTGAAGCAATGAGGCAACCCCAAACCACGGCCGTTGTATCACTGTTATGGGATTTTACTGTATTGATTGATTTTCTTTTGCCTATTCCATCTGTGGTCTTTATTTTCTCCACAACACATTATTTCAAAAGGCCTGGTGTTTAACTGTGTGTTCTCTGAAAAATGTCAACTTTCTTTTTGGACAGCAGGACCTTTTTTGTTGTTGCTGGCTTGATTCCAATGCATTTATGTGCAGGCACATTCATATTGTAAAAGCTCACATTCTGATGCCAACAGTTATTTGCAGATGCCGTTGTAAAACACTGGGGTTCTTGAATATGTCTCTTTGCCTCTGATGGTGTGTTGCTGGAAGTAAGTGAGACTGTGTTAGCTTTATGGACAGAAGATGTAGGCATAGGCTGAATGTTTTCTGCTTTGGTGCCCTGAGGAGCTTATTACTGCTCTTCGCAGAAGCTGGAGTTCTTCTGGCTTCATCGGGCAGTGACCTCCACCTTGCACTGGATCAACTTACAGTCGACAGAGAAGTAGCTGGGATGAGAATTAATTAGCACTTCCAAGGCTGATACCATGGTTCTCACCCTGAAAAGGGAGTTCCCACTCCAGGTCGGAGAAGAGTCGCCATCCCGAATGGAGGAGTTTAACTATTTCAGGGTCTTGTTCATGAGTGAGGCGAGAGATTGACAGAAAGATTGCAGCAATGTTAATGGTGATGCAGAGGCTTTCTTGGTCTGCTGTGGCAAAGAGGGACCTGAGCATGAAAGTCAAGCTGTTGCTTTGCCAGTCAAGCTATGTCCCTACCCTCACCTGTGGCCACGAGCTCAAGGTGGTGACTGAAAGAATGAAATTGTGGATACAAGAGACAGACAACAGGGTGTCCCTTAGAAATGTGCTAAGTGGCTCGGTCAGGTGCTCGGAGTAGAGCCACTAGTCCTCCAAATTGAAAGGAGTCAGTTAAGGTGGTTCGGACATTTGGTCAGGATGCCTAGAAAATTTCTAGGTGAGTTTTTTTTGGCCATGTCCATCAAAGCTCTAGAGCAGGGGTGGGAAACTCCAGGCCTCAAGGGCCAGTGTCCTGCATGTTTTAGACGTGTCCTTGAGCCAACACAGCTGATTTAAATTGTTAACTGACCTCCTCATGTCTTGAAGTTCTCCAGAGGCCTGGTAATAAACTAAATTTGATTCAGGTGTGTTAATCCAGGGTGATATCTAAAACCTGCAGGACACCGGCCTGGAGTTCCCCACCCCTGGTCCAGAGCCACATGGCTTTGACCTTGGTACGATGATACTACATACTCAAAAGTGAGCAAAACAGCAGAACCTTGATGTCAGAGCTTTAAATAAGATGGGTTTCACTAGGGCTGGGCGATATGGCCTAAAATCCATATCATGGTATAATTTGAGGCATGTGCAGTAACGATATATTCTTTTCTTCCTTATAACATATTTTAAATAATATAAGGCACACTTAAAATGCTTTAATTTTCTCAAAATTCGACAGTGTTCCTTATGCTCTTAGTTTCTCTGAGCATTTTGCAGTCTGACCTAGGGCTGGGCGATATAGCCTAAAATCCATATCGCGGTATAATTTGAAGCATCTGCGGCAACGATATATATCGTGATATACACTGACTTGCAAAAGCCACTGTATTCTTTTCTTCTGTATAACATATTTTACACACTAAAAGGCACACTTAGAATCCTTTAATTTTCTCTAAATGCATCTTATAATCCGGTTCACCTTATGTATGAATTCTGGTTGTGCTCACTGACCTCGAACCAATTTTATGTGGTACAGGGCGCACAGAAATCTGTCAAAAAATGTTTTAGTATGACTTTGGTAAGCTATGAAGGCGCACTGTTTGATGGATTGTTGGAGCATTACGGCTACCGTAGGAGCCTTGGAGTAATCTGGGTCCAAAACTCCGTTGACTTCAGGTTCCAAAGTCAAACTGTCTAAATTCTTTCATCTTTAATAAAATGATCAGCGTTGCTGCTTTACCAGGTGTAACAATTAAGTTTAACATCCAGACATCCATGAAAATAGAATTTATTATATTCAACGGAGTTAGAAGTTAGCAGGGAGTTACCTCTCTAGCTTCCACCTAAACATGATATAGCATGTTCTGACTGAGAGATTTCTGAAATAAATCAAACGTACAGCTCTGCTATCACTTCCAACATAAATGAAGACAGAAAACTAAACAGCAGTGACGTTTGTAGGGTTACTGAAGATGGACTAGCTGCTATATAATGATGTGCTACGTGATCGCTAGCAAAATAGCTACGTTAGCATAACATTAGCACAGTGAAGCTGGAGGATGAACGCTGGACATAAGTTAACGTGAGGGTTCCTGATGGTTAGGGACAAATGCAATCGCATGGCAGGATGCTGTAAACGGACCAAACTTCAGCCAGGAGAACAACTGAGATAATCCATCCACAATACGAAGTTAGTCATTAATATACTGCAACAACATGGGAATAGAGCAGCTGTGAGAGAATTCAGCATTAATGAATCAATGGTAGGGAAGTGGAGGAAGCGCAGGTTTTGGCTTTCCCCATATTCCAAAAGTGCTTCATCTCTTTGCCATTACTGCCGCCTGCATAATTTGCAGATGATATTGTTTGCAGCCGCTGCAATGCTTTCAACCAAAACAGGCACCATCAACATGCTATCGCGGTAGAGCTGTATAGTCAAAATCTCTACTGTTGGCCAAATTTATACCGTTTCTAACGCCCACCCCTAGGTTCCACATTTCACTGCCTGATCTGGAACCCCTAATTAAATTAAAGGAGCACACTTTTCCTGTATTGGTGATCTGCTTAATGAAACTTCATCAGAGCTGTTATAATAATGTTGTAAGCTCTGATTGGCTGAGCTGTCAGTTAAAACAACACTAGAGTTATGTAGGTGTTGAGCAAAGCTGCCAGCTGCAGTGACACCCCTGAGCTGTAGCGTCATCTATATGGTTCTTGTAATACTTTATATGGAAACGTTTGGAAACTTTAGCGACTTACCTGTTGTTAAACTTTTTTAATTTGCTTTTTGCTCATTGCTGTTGTGACCCTGGGATACCCCGCTGCAGTATCTCACTCCCTTCAGCCCACTCTGGATTTCTCTCTGTCTGCTGCTTTGTTTTTAATCTGACCCTCGGTATAATTGAGGTGAAGCACTGGTGGGTACAATCAGAATAATTTTTCTTTTCTTTTGAAGAAAACAGATCAGTGATTCTAAATGTAAAAGTTCCAAAGCTCAGAGAGAATCAGATTCTGCGGCTGAATTTTTAAAGTGAGGGCAGGGGGGGATTTTTTTAGACCTCCGAGACGGCGAGAAGAAATGAGAAAGAGAGGACGTTTAGGCAGAGCCTGAGGGAGTGCGGTGATGTAATGAGCTTCTGTCCACTTTATAATTAAAAGTAGTGGAGTCCAATAACCCTTGTACAAACCCCCATGAGTGCGAGTGTGAATTAGACAGACCTGCTGTTATCAGGGGTCACGATTTCAGGCCCCTCATGAAGGCTCGGCTGTGTTTGCGTGTTCATGTATCTGCTGTTGATAAAGAACATAAAGCTGTTTTGTTCTTTCGTTCTTTCTTCGTCTTTTTGCGATGTATACGTTCAGTTTGAAAAATATTCCATTTCCGAGGCCACACACGCTTTCTTAGTGTTGGATTATAACTATGCTAATATGAGCAACTGGGCAGTTTATATGATTTAAAGTTTTGGAACATTTTCTGAAAGGCACATTTAATAAAGTAGTATGGAGGAACAAAGCTGCCAGTCTCCCAAAGTCAATGCAGGAACGCCAAGTTAAAAAATAAATAAATTAGTGAAGGTAAATAAACAGGTTAATTCATTGGTATACAAATGAAGAATAATAGTATTGCATTATCTGTCCAGTAGTCATACTGATTAATATATATTTTGGCGGAATCCATCCTCCATAGGGAGAGGAATTTATAGTCTGTTCACAGCTGTTTCTTTCCAGATGTTGTGTTTATGGTTTGCTTTCTGTCCCTCAGTACCGCTGATCCCAGCGAGGAACCTTCGTTTCTCTGAGGTGGATCACAGCTCTGCCCGGATCACATGGGACTCCGCCTCCAGGAAGGTTAAAGGGTACCGCATCATGTACGTCAAAACCAATGGAGTCCAGACCAATGAGGTGAGGGAACTCTGGAGGACACAGGTCATCAGGCTAGCCCAAACTTGTCAGAGAGGAAGTAGTAACGTGTCGTTCCTCGATGAAGTTTAACAATTCCAGCAGAGCCTGATCATTGGTCCAGCATCTGTGCACTGTCTGTGCTGCTAATTCCAACATGACAAACAAACCGAGTCGCTTAGGAACAAATGTCATTGTGTTTTGGTCCTGTGTCTTCAGGTGGATGTTGGCCGTGTGACAGCCTGGCTGCTGAAAAACCTGACATCACTGACGGAGTACACTGTCGGTGTGTTTGCCGTCTATGATGAAGGACAAGCTGAGGTTGTGACAGACAGCTTCACCACAAGTAAGAAACTAACATCATTGTAAATAGAGATTGTTATATTCAAAAGTGTTTCTGAAATGGTTTCAACCAGAATTGTTGGTGTTTGTTTAGAAACTGTCCCGGACCCAGTGGACCTGAGGAGCAGTGACATCTCCACGAACAGCTTCAGGGTGTCCTGGGCTCACCCGGCGTCTGATGTGGTGCTTTATCGACTCACCTGGACACCCACCGACGGAGAAGAGAGCAGTGAGGTGTTCACGTGTTTCTTATACGCTTATATGTGTATTTTAAGCTTAGAAGATGAAAGAAAGTCACCTGGAAATCTTATGATTTCTGAAGTGTCATCGCTCAGGATGGAAAACGCTCATTCTTTTAAGTAATTCAGTCCTTAATGACCATTAAAACTCTCTTTATAAAGTTTTAGACTGCTCAATGCTTAAATTAAACACATGTTGGCAGTGTTTCATGTGGCCAAATGGCAGTTTCTACTCTCAGCTCTGTGTAATGTTACAGAGGGAATATCCTTATATGATCATATCACACGAAGCTGACTGTGAGCACAGAAGACTGAACCACCTTCTGTTCTTCTCAAAGGACGATGGATAAATGTCTTCATCCAGGCAGTGGACAGACTGAGAGGCTGCACCAAACTCCTCAGTCTGACTGTCGCAGAAATAAGGATTATTTTTCATCACCTCCATAAAAATATGGAGCTAGAAATGAGCAGATCGGATCCTTTGAAACACTAACGAGCACTAACGAACGAAGCTGCTCCCGCCAGCACAGTCAGGTTTAATGACTGTGTGCTGACTTTGTCGCAGTCATTGTTGACTGGCAGCGTCTTTGGACCTGATAAACACCAATCAAATGATTTCATTAAGATATGAGAAGAAGTGCACGTGACAGCAGATAAAAGCCAACTTTGTCACTCCAGTGAGTCTCTGAGAGATAATGTGGGCGTCACCGGCCTTTGTATGTCTTCTGATCTTTGTCTTAACTGATGGTGACTTTGCTTTTATGTACTCTGCAGAAAGAGGAAACTCTATCAGGAAACTCTTAGAATGAAACATTTTGGAACATCTTTTTCTGTCACCTGTCTGTCTAAAGCAGCTTTGTTGTCCTGCTGTTTCAGGTTTTGGTGAATGGGAATATCAACACGTACCTGATAAAGGAACTCACCCCCTCGACAGAGTACGAAGTCCTCCTGGCCGCCATTTACGGGAATGAGCTGGAGAGTGATGAGGTGATCCTCGTGGAGTCCACCGGTAAATTTATTGTTACAAAACCTCAGGTTTCTTCACACTTTCATGTTTGTTGTGTTTATTAATGAGACTGTTTGTCGTCTTTCTGTTATTATTCTCTGATTTTATTCTGTAAACCGCTCAGAGGAATCAGACATCAAAGGATCCTTTAAACTTTCTGAATTAATGGATCAGTCGCATCAGTGACATGTTTCTGCATTTGATTTTCAGCTGAAAAAACAACCACCATTGCCACGACAACCACCACCGTAGCAGGTAATTAATCCCGGGATGAATTTGGATCTTTTTTCTCTTCTCTCCATCGTCTGCGTTTTACTTCATCCTTCATCAACTCTGTCATCCTAAGACTTTCGTTTCTCACTTGGCTTCTTTTCCACCAACGTGTTGCTGAGGTTTAATGTAGAAACAGTTCACTGGTACTGGTGCTACTGGTGAAAATGGGAAACACTGCCTGGTTGTTGGCTGAGACTGGTTAACGAAACGCACTGAGGCAGCGTTTGTGGTCCTGTGCTGATGAAGAACATGGGTAATAGATGCCTTTGAACTGTTGGTGTGTTTTTATCAGCTCTTCATCAATCAGCAGCCCTGTAAGTGCATGTGGAACTGCAGACTAACGAGTGCTCATGGGAATTCTTTAGGCAACAGAAATCTTCCAGGATCTGTCGAATAATGACTCAGAATTTTAAACTATGGCAGTTTTCATTTCTCCACGCAGTACGTGGGCCTGAAGATCAATGTTTTTTTTACTGTAGTAACCAATTAGCTTTTAAATGTGAAACACATATTTTTCATGAATTTGAAATTTTCCAGACTAAATAAGAAAAACCAACCTGTTACCTGTGGGTGCAGTTTGGATCCAGTGCAGTTACTCAGTATCGATTATTTAGTCAGATTGACAGAGTAAAGCTGCAGATATGAAGTAAATGTCTGGTTCTTTCTAGCCTGGCACAGGACAGAGACACGTAAATGCAAAGCAGCCGAAGTCGTCTCAGTTTGGATTTCGGGAAGCAAGAAATCTCGACAGGATGGAGAGCAGTTATTGTCTTTTAGAAATCAGAGAAATAAAGAAAAAAGATAAAGATCATAATATTTGGACTCATGTGAGAACACTCTTTGTGGTTTTGTGTTGAAATGGCAGCACTGGGAAAAAAGTTTCCAAAAAGTCGAGCGTGTAAGTGACGCTATAAATGCTGATGTTATAAGATCAAAATTCTGAAACGGTGAATCAGATAAGAAGTTTGCTCCTCCTGTTTCACTGATAGCGTCTGTAAACCTGTTCCTATATTATCAGAGGGAGGGTGCGTTGTTCCGATATGTTCTCCGAAGGAACGTTTCGATATTCCGAAGACACTGATGTGATATGAAAATCTGAGCAAATTAAATGCCAGAATGATGACATTTTGATACCATCGCTTTCTGTGATAGGCTGTGACAGCTTCATGCTTCACTGAGTTAATCTTTGAGTCACTGATCTGCAGCCAGAGTTTCTCTGTCCAACCCTTCAGCTCCTCGGTACGGGGTGAGAAGCATGAAGATCGATGAAGAAACTACGTTCAGCATGCGGGTGTCCTGGCAGCCCGTCGACCCCAGAAATGCTCGACATTATCGACTGAGCTACATCAGTGCGAGGGGAGACCGAGCAGCAGAGACGGTAAGACAGAGAGAGACACTTCATTTCATAATAATTACCTCCAGGTCTGATGCTCATTTGAACGGTCTTCAGCAATGCCTGCTTTTCATTCCCAGCATCAACACTCAGCAACACTATCTTAGCCTATAGGAGCCGCACATTAATAAAGTCAACAAACAATCAGCCCCAGCACACAAACACCACCTAAAAACAACAGGAAACTGACAGCGATGTGTTTTCCATGCTGATAGAGCCTTCCCCTCTCATTTAAAATAAATGGAAATCCCTTGTGGCAGCCATCACGACCACATCACCAATTTGCAGAAGTTTAATTTGCAGAACATTTCCAGCCATAAACTTTACTAAGTCACGTTTGTGTGATTTCTTTGAATACTCTTCAAATTTTATGCTCTGAAAGTCAAACTCCTACAAATTCATACAATGGAACAGACAAAAGAGCATCAGTCTTCAACAGGAGGAGGGTGGGAGATTATTGATGAAGACAATGGCAGGCCCTCAGATTAGAAGTCCTCCTTGGAGAGAAAGTCAGTGCTACTGAAGTTGATGGCAGGCCTTCAGAGTCTAGTTAAGGGGCAGAGACGAGAGCAGGAAGAGGATAATGATGATGAAAACAGTGGCAGGCCTTCAAAGAGTTTTTCTTTTTTTCAGTGAGGTAGAGAGAGCCTGGCAGCTTCTGCAGTAATGAGCCGAGAGAGAAGGCTTTTATAGAAAACAACACTCGTGCAAAAATATGCCACAGGCGTGCGTGACAATACATCAATAATGGGGTACAATCGTGGCCCCGCGTGCCAGAAATGTCCAAAGGGAGCCAAATATTATTTTTAATAACGAAATATGACATGAAAGTTCGCTCACAGGTTCTGGCTCCGGGTCTCTACCTTAACCCCGGAAACTGTGACTTTTATTGCCAGAACTTGCTTTCATGCCTACAGAGTGACTCATGCAACCCGTCAGGATGTTGGACCAACACGGAGCACAGGCTCAAAATCCCAGCTTGGTTTTTGTCCAGTTCCACTTAAATGGCAATTTAATCAAAGGGGGAAAAGGGCATTGATGCTTTCTGCACTCCTGCCACACAGGAAGGACGCAAAAAAAGAAAAACCTCTCGACACTGTGATTTTACCAACAACACGTGCATGTGGGAAACCTGAATGTGGAATATTCCAGGCAAAAGTGTTAGCGACGCCTGGAATCTGGGTGTGTGGGGAGGGGGTGTGCTTTAAAAGATAGTTGTCCTCAGTAATCAGGGTCAAACTTCACGGTTCCTGCTCAACTAAGACGTCTGTCTGGTTCTCGGTGATGAGGAGAGTTTTGACTAAAAGTCCCCGTTAGAAGGCAGACATGTCATGTTTACAGTGTGATTAGTTTTCATGATAAAAGCTGCTTTGAATCCTAATTAAAGACAAACTCCCAGATTTCCTGTCTTTAAACTCTGCTCACACACACACACACACCTTTACCTGCATCACAAACACTTTTTTCTTTTTCATGCTCTCATTGTTTTCTTTCACATTTGTGCAAATCACATTTATTCTGTAATAATTGTCTCTTTGGTGTTAATAAATGTAGAGCATGGCTTCCAAGGTTCTTTGTAATCCTAAGTGTTCGGGTGTTCCCTTTGCCAGGTTAACGCGTGTCAAATATCTCCAGAACCGTCTCATCTTCCTGTGACTTTTGACTTCACTGGTGTGTGTTGTTGTGTGCTGGTTGGCCCACTCTGGACACAGGTCCCGCTTCAGCCTTTTCATCCTGACAATAAAGAGCCACCAGCTGCTCGCACCGGCGGCTTGTTAAATGAGATCTCTTATCAAAGCACGAACAGCTGTGGCCTCTGTTTGGCAATCCGGTCAGGTTATGAATCACCAAGTGCTGCGCTCAATAGCTACTATTTAGATGTCTATCTGCTGTGGGGGGAGAAAAAAACACCTGCTTTGTTCAAAGTTTCATTCTGTGGTTCTCGGCTGCCAAAGCAGGGCAACGCGCCACCGAAGGAGCGCGTCTCATTCACGTGTTATTGATATGTGGCTCATCCCACTTCATCTTCACTGGTGGAATCTTGTCCTAAAGAGCTAACGTGTAGTCAGCATGTTAGATCTGCAGCAGCAACAAATCATATTATATGTAATTAAATTGTGGATATTAGTGGTTTTCTAACACGATTACAGAACGCTCTGCATCACAGGAACACGCAGCAAAGAAAAGCCAGAAATCAGACTTCCTTGGCCTTTTTGCAACTTTTGAATTATTTATATTATTTAATTATCGAGTGGTTATGTCTTAGTTTTTGTCCTGTTCTTCTCTGGCTGATAGAAATATCTGCATTTCCATTGTTATCGTCACATTTTGACCTCCTGGGCAGAAGCATGAAGCCAGCACAGAGGTATTAAGAAGCCAGCTGTCCTTCAGACGGACTCCACAAGTCAGTCTGTCCCCAGTGCCTCCCACATCAAAATGCCCAATTTCCTGACACGGGGAACTGTAGGCAATCAGAGCTCGCCTCCTCTGACTGAAGCCACTGAGTCTGTTGGTGCCTTATGAAGCTTTTTTCATCTGACAAACACTGTGTGGCCTGCTGTCAGATACAGACATCAGGGAGTGAAATGCTAGCGTGTTATTAGTCTGTTACTTAGCTGTAATTAGCAGGTATGATTGTGTTTGTGGTGCACCTGTGCAGTCTGACGGGAACATTTCCAATCCGTACTTTTTGGGTTACAACCTCTAACCTGGTCTGGTTCTTTCTTGCTAGACTTGTACTAGAAAATTAATGCACGAATAAATGAAACATTTCTCAGTGCTTAGGTCTCTACAAGCTTATAAATCTAGAAGTTAATGGTTCGGTTCATTCAGATGGCTGTGTCACTGCCGTACCAGATGATGGTGTCTACACCGTAGCCATGGCGTGACTCAACTCTGAAGCCATCTGTCCACAGGCAGCTGTGATGCTCAACTCATTGAAGCTCCATTATTTCCCTGTGCCGCTTCATTCAGCGTCCAATAAACCAAAGCTGCCGGGCATCAAGAGCAATTCCACCGTGTGCAGGGTTCTGTCTCTCGCTGCTCGGGAGCAGATTCTTGTTCCAGGAGGTTAAAAACTGGGGATTAAAAAGTTTAAGGGATCTTTTTCTTAAAAAACTGTAACTGTCTGTGTGTGACACTCACAGCTATTAGAAAATAATCAATAAATACAGTGTTTTGCACTAAAGCTTTAATTTCTGATCTTTGAGCCATGTCTCAATTGCCGGTTTTAGCTAATGGAAGCCATTTAGGTTTAAACACCATAAGTGTGGTTTCATGAGGGAGAAATCCAAACCCATTTCTTTTTAACTGTGATCCTTGGCATCATTCAGCAGAAATGTCTGTCCCCTAACTGCTCATTTAGTGTGTCTGATCCACTTCCAGTTCTCTATTTATTTGTTTTTTGTTAATGTTAGGTCTGTTTCTGATATTTAACAGTAAGTGTCTTTTATTTATATATATATATATATATATATATATATATATATATATATTCTCCAAAGTCACAAATCCTTATGGCTTCTTATGACTTGACCTGAGCTCAAAGTCCTCATCTAAGATTAAAGGTGTTTCTTCTTTAACATCGTCAGTGATGTCGACCACTACTGCAAAGCTAGGCATGTTAACACCAGAGTTTATGAGCATTTTTCCCCAAGTGGCCACTAAAGGAACTGCAGGTATGGATAGTTTTTTCCTCAGCTTCAGTTTTCAGCCCCCGGAGGTTCCCGCTTGGTTGGCAACATAAGGGATGCGTCCCCACTTGGATCTAGGGCTTGGCATTATTTGGATTTATCATAAAAATGATTTAAACAAGACTACTGACAGTTCAACATTATTCATTCGTTTTGTCACACTGACTGGCTGTGGTGTGTTTATGTATTTATTAGGGGTGCAACACGTTCGATACAGTGCTTTCGGTTCGGTACGCATATGTATCGAACAATACAAATTTTTTTATTTATTTTATCAACTTTTCTTCTGACGATGCTGTCTGTGTTGAGCGCTCGTTGCAACATGGCAACTGCCTCAACGCTACCCGAAATTGAACCTCCCCCACCCTCATTCAGATCTGGCCTTTGGAACTATTTTGTTCTTCATGTGACGTATGACCCTGAAGGTAAGCGCCTCATGGACAAAAGTAAAACAGTATGTCGGATGTGCAACAATGCTCAATTGGTGGGAACTACTGCGTTAGCGCAGTTAGCTTGTTAAGGTGTTGACGCCGTCCAGCCCCACGGTAGCTCGTTAATGGAGATTTGCCGCGTTATGGCGTTAATGTCGTTTTAACGAGATTAACGCTGACAGCACTAGTGGGAACACAACGAATATGACTGCACGTTTACGCCGACATCATCCTCGTGCAAAGACAAGTGGAAGCAGACAAAAACACATGCTACAAACTTTACCCGAGTCATTTAGACAGCCGTTAGCACATGATTCTCCTTATGGGGACCTGATATGTTTAATATGCTGCTGAGAATATAGCCCAGAAGAAGCGTATAGTAGAGCTTTTATTTTGAAAGAGCCATTTCTCTGTAATAAACTCTCTTTTCCAAACATGAGTGATTTCTCCATCAGATAGATGAATTTATTTTTATTACTTTGTTGTTTCAGCAACATTAAATTTTAGAAACTGTACTTTTGAGTTAAAATATATATTTATAACTTTAATGAATGACAAATTAAAAAGGCATGAACATTGTTTTTTTGTATCGAAAAAATATCGAACCGTGAATTTTGTGTATTGTTGCAGCCCTAGTATTCATGTATTTATATTTCGGTTTTAGATCAACAATTGTTCTGTAATCTCAATATTGACCAAAATATTCTTCGTAGTAGTCTTTCTGATTTTTTTTGTTGGTTCCTGTTGTTCTGGTCTGAAGTCTTGTTTCTGCTTTGGCGTTTTGTCTGTACTTCTTGTGTCATCGCACTCTGACTCTGCCAGCTGTGTGTTTGACTGTCTACCCTGCAGTTTGCCTTTAAGCCTCGTTGTTCCAGCGAAGGTGGATCAAACTTAATATTCCAGACCTGCGTGGAGCCTCTGTCAAAACAAGATTGTGTTTCTGGATCACATAAATACTTTATGAGTCCGCGTTTGCATTTACAAAGAGGTTGGAGTAAAAAAGGGAGTGCAGCTGGAGGTGGTTTATTCCAACTGTGTGACACTGTGACAGTTTAGAGACTTGCTGCCTTTTTCATCAGGCTGGGCTGAAATTGATTTGTTAAGGCCCACAGTGCTGCTCTGACTGACACGTATAAGAATTTCTTTCTGTTTTTTTAGAAAGTGGAAGTTTTGCGAATGGAGTCAGGCCAGACTCTACATGCTCAGAATGCAAACTGGCCCAGCAGACAGACAGCAGAGAGAGCTCAACCTTTAAAGATTTCTCCTACGCACAATACAACAATAGCTCTGGTTACCTGGAGCGAGATGAGCTCTGTGTTCAATCATATGTAAAATACAAACATTTGCCTTCACAGAGCCACTTAGAGCATTCGCAGCATGCTTTATGCAGATCAAATAACAGACGAGTGTTTCTTAACTGTATCATAAGGCTCGGCTGATATAATATGTTCAGTTTACTGAGAGAAGATTTGGCTTCTTTCTAACCAATAGAATGTGAGGAGCCACTTGAATTTGTCAAGATTTTCTTTTATTATGTTGCCACAACCAGACGACGCCATCCTTTTCAGTTTGCTCCAATTGGATTTGGTTGGAAATTACTGTCATCATACATAAAATATATATATGTGTATCATAGAGTTTAATAACAGAAGGGGGAAGAGTGTGGAAGAGAAGGTGATACTTTAAGATGAGCGGAGGGGAAATGAGCCAGAGGTTTTGGAGAATAAAAACAAAGAGAGCTCCACTGGGTTTCGGATTCAAAGAACAAAAACAATATAAGTATAATTTATGAACAGCAGATGTGGTGAGACAAACAGCAGCAGAGAAATCGAGAGAAGCAGAGATGAAGAGAGAGGAAAGATGTCCACGGGGTAAAGAAGGAGATTAGATTGTCTTCAGTGTGAGATCATCAGTTTTAATAAAAGACTCAGCTCGCCCACAGGTGAGGAGGACACCTGGACACAATTAACCTCTGCAGCACTTTGAAACCTCGCAGTCCACTGCAGCCACTCTCCCTCCTTCACCTCTATTAAAAAGGCTAATACTATTTTTTTGCTAGCTCGTGCTTTAGAAATCTTAATTCTCTTTGTTAACTCATTTTTAAATCCGCCCTTGTTAGACTCTAAATCCATGGCTCAGAGGAAGCCAACACATGAGACAGGAGTTCAAAGAATGGAAAATAAAAAATGATAATAAAATATTAACAATAAAAATACACAAAGCACAAAAAAGGGAGACGGGAGTCAGAGAGACCAACAAACCCAGCGGTGAGCTGTTGGACTGAAGATCAAGCGAAAAAGAAACAAAAACTGGTTTGATTTTAATTTTTTTTAAAAAGAATTTGATTTAATTTTAGACGCATATGACCTGCTAATGTAAACACAGTAAAGTTATAATGAAATTAGTCAATTACAGTGAAAAAGTCTCCCATGGAAACTTGTTCCTGTCACAAAACCTGCAACATTATCATTTGACCTTCAGATCAGACTTTGAAGGAGAGGTCAGAGGTCAAATGTGACATGATCATTTAAATCTATATGGTACTTCCTAAATGTTGACAATAAACACAACATGTTATGTCAGTTTTCGACCAATAAATCTTCAGGTTGACCTTGATGACCTCAGTGGACGAAGCTGTGATGAATTGTTAACGCGGCTCCTCGACGTCCCTGCAGCGATTTATCAGAATTCATTCAAAAGTTTTCAGAGTGCGTTTAAAGACTGAATGCAGATACAGAAATGCTACTAAAAACATCAACAAACAGAGGGAAGAATGCAGAATGCTTGAAGACGTTCTCAGTCGCAGTCTGCTGTGAAGGAAGAGGGAGGGTAATGAGAATGATCAAAGAAACAATCATTTAGACGCAAACGTATCTCTGCATGTGGACACAAATTATAACCAAATCACTGAAGACATGCACAAGTTTTTTTGGGTTTGCAGAAACATCATTTTCCTATTTTTTTTTTTTTAAAGCAAACCTCAGCAGTCACGTTATCCTGCTGTTACATCTACATGAAGTGATCCTGCAGTGAGCGTATGTGGTGCAACATGATTAAGAAGCAGCTACAAAAGTCCACACGTTTAATATTACAAAGCAAAACTGGACGATGAGCTGTGGAAACTATCGAGATTAGAAACAAGGAAACGTCAGAGTGCAGTTTCTCTGTTTGACTGGCAGCTGAACTTTGGGAGGTGAAATGTCACATCAGTGCAGAGAGACTGAGGATGGGGAAATGTCTAAATGTTCAAGTCAAACATTAACGGCTTTGCTTGTCTTTCAAAACTGTCCTGACTCTGGTCTTTCTGTGCTTACAGAGAACAGTGCCCACTGGTCAGAACAGCCTGGTTCTGCAGCCTCTGCTGTCAGACACAGAGTACAAAGTCTCCATCACTCCTGTCTACCCCGAGGGAGACGGACCGGCAGCCGCCGCGACGGGACGGACGCGTGAGTCATATTGATGCTGAGTTCGCTTGACTTTTGTTTCTTTCGCTTTCTTTTCTTCACTCTCTGCTCTTTTTAAGTCGTCTGCAGTTTCGTGTTTTATCATTAACCTGTGATCAGGACCTCAGAGCAGAGCTGGAGTTCCACTTGACACCAACTTATCTGCTGTCTAACACAAGCATACAAATTAGACCAGGAAACAGCGATACAAGAAGAAAGACAGACTTTTTTGATGCATCTCTGCATCTCTACGCTGTTTACAGGATGGATGGTTTGGTTTACAGGAAGTCCTGCTCTAACGTTTGAGTCTGGAGAACAAATCCCAGCACATGCTCCTCCCCTCAGCCTGGCTCTGATCAGGTTTCTTCCTTCCCACTGTCACCAAGTGCTTGTTCATAGGGAATTGTTTGATTGTTGGGGTTTTCTCTGCACTGTTGTGGGGTCTTTGCTGTACAATATGAAGCACCGTGTGGTGACTGCTGTTGTGATTTGACTGTCAGTTTGAGACACAGACAGCAGCAAGTGGTCAGACGTGAAGAATAACCACACTGGAAAACAAATATGTAACCTAGAAGGGACAGAACATTGTGGAACCTCTTAATAGCATTTAGCTCTTTGAGTGTTCAGTCAAAAAGAGCTGTATCATCATTATTATTGTTGTTATTATTATTAGAACCAGTCCATTTACCATTTTATTCTTTCTTTTTTATGCTTATTTATTCATTCAGCAAGTTATTTGTATCATATCTGATCTTCTAAGCCAGTTGTACTCACATTTGTTCAGCTTCTTGTGTCTAAAATTACTGGCATTGTGTAGAAAAAGAAGAAACACATGGAGGAGAAACTTCATGTTGTCCTCCCAGCTGACTGTAGGAGTGGTTTGTTATAGTTGGACAAATAACCCCGGCTGGGGTTTGAAAGTAGAGCTGAGAAGCTGCTGTGGATCAGAGTGCCACACTTGTGACCCTCCGACACTCTCTGGCATCTTTGCGCTCTGATCTCCGGCACAGTCCTGCTGCTGTAGACAGACTAAAGTATTATTGGATTTGTGCCGGGAAAATCTTGTCATGACAGAGCAGACAGGAAGAAGGATGAAAGTGAACAAAGGCAAGAACGGGATGAAGAAGGGTGAAGGTGCTTGTTTTCCACGATGATCTCTTCCCTGCTGATCTGATAGAGGTTGATTTCTACATTCAGTGGCAGTTTTCAGGATTCCTCTTTCACCCTCTGTTTATTTATCGTTATTATTCCTTTTTGTCCTCTTTGAAAAGTGGAAACATCTCAAGCGAAAACTAACAGAGAAATGCCCTCAACATCTGTGGATGTTATGTTGTGAGTATGACAGTGGCAGGATATGCTTCGAATATTAAATGATTAAATATGTGAAGCTAAAGTGAATCCAGAGTAAAGGCAACAAAGCACGTGTTCGACTAGCCTGTGCCATCCTGACTTTAAAGTTTCTTTGCCACCACAGATTAAAAAGATGCGCTCTGCAGAAGACCGTCTGTCCTCACTGTGCCATCACGTTTTGTTGTTGTTTTAAGACCTGGTTTCATTTTCCGTTTCTTTTTCTTTTGGTTGGTTATGTTTACATTTATCATGGTTTGGATAAAGATACATCATTTGAAGAATAGTCAGTAGTTGGGGTACGATGCCGTCTTTGGTGATGTATGAACAGCTCTCAGGATTATGTTGCTTCCTTCAAGTCGTGCTGTTGCTGCTCCTGGTGGCTCCTGGATCTCCAGTGTGGTGAATGTTGACCTCGTGCTCCAGTCTCCATTTAGCTCGGTCCCGACTCTCCAGTTTAATAACACAGAAGGCTTTTCACTGCGGGCCAGCAAAGCTGTTGCACACTTCAACAATGGCCAGGCTTTAAAAAATAAACGGCTCAGTGGTATAAATCACACAGAAAACAAAGAAGGACAGAAAATGTGTTGTCCTGTACATCTGCTGTCCATCTCAGCATGTTATAATATTACACTAAGTTTCAGTATATAATGATTTAAGTATGCCAACAGATAACTCATTGAAGAAAGCCATATGTATTCATAAAATCATAATCATACGTCTCTTTTAACAAACAATCAGTTCAGCATAATTCAAACCAAGTACATGAAGCAAAGTTTGGATCTGAAAGGCCAAAAAGATTCTGGGAGATAGAAAATCCTCCAATCCTGGAGGTGTTGAGGGTCAGCGAGGACCAGGAGACAGGCCAGAACAAAGCAGCGCTGTGGTTTGCAATTAAAAGATAGTGGAAATGTCAATGTCATGTTCACAACCACAAGGGTGCAAAAAAGTGAGCATTTTCAGGATCAAACGTGGAAACGACTTCACTGATTTGGAAAAGTTTGCTAATGGGACCCATAACGAGGGGCTGGTGTCTCGGGTGTTTGTGCCTCCTGAGAGGGAGAATCTGTTGTGGGTGAGTTGAGGATGAGAGATGCATTTCTGCCCACAGCGGCTGTCGCTTTCTTAAAGTCTCATTACTGTGAAACAAACACAACAATTTAAGCCGAGCAGCAAAGTGTTCGCCATTCATCTTGTTCAGGACGCTCAAGAAAATGTTGCCGGAAGCTGAATGATTGAGGGGGCGTTTTTCTTCCTGCCAACACGGGCAAAGAGAGGGTTCAATTATATTGTAAAGTTTAAATCACTGCACAAGATAAAACGTTGATTGATTTGATGAAATATGTAACAAGATAGAAAAGATTCAAAATACTGGAGCCGAACCTTTATTAGAAATTAGGTGTGCGCTTCCAGTTTTGCTTTTCGTTGCAACTTTGCCTTCATTAACAAGTATTTAGATGAAAAATAGGAAGACGTACTTTCTCCCTAACCCAACCCCGGAGATCTCTGCAGCTCATTACACCTGAGACAGTTTCCCAGGAAGGAAAAGAGACGGCGGCCGCTCAGTGCTCAGCATCCATTTGCTTTACTGTGGAGCTGAAGACAGAAATAAGCGGGAAGCATCTTTTCCTCTTTTGTTAAATATGACAGAGCGCCGCTGCGAGTGCAGCAGAGGCTAATGATTTTCTCTGCCGCCAAGTGCATTACAGAACAAACACTCCACTTTTAGCGTGGAGGAAACTCTAAATTTAAGTCGTTCATCTTTCCGCTCCGTCCCATCATGTCTCCCCCGTGCGACGCGTTACACACATTAGCAGACGCTAACGACGTTCTCCGCTTTTTAAGCGACGAGCCTGCGACACCCGCTGATGATGAATGGCTCCTGTTAGGTAGTGAGGGATGAGACGATCACCTGGGGAAGAATGACGGGGATTGCAGAGAGAGAGGAGGGGGGATGATTGCGTTTTTTAAGGTGGAGATAGATGATGTGACAAACGGCGCCCGTGTAATCTTGGGATTTGAACCTATGAGGGATGGGGCGAACGCCGAGGGAGGCATGACAGGGAATGCAGAGAGGATGATTGGGTTTTTAGCCCCAAACTGAAGATAGATAATGTGGCAGAAGAGGCAGATTAAGCTGCGTTTGATCCACTGAAGGATGGGCCAATCAGAGAGAGAGGCGTGGGGGGTAATACAGAGAGGGCGGCGGGGAAACAAATATAATGTGATAGAAAAGTCACTACCAACTTGATGGCAAAGAGATTTAAGACCGAGAATTAGAAGATAATTGACTTTCATAGCCTCGGTGTGGAATATGTTGTGACGAGGAATGAATGAGGAATGAATTTAAGAGACAGCAGGGTGTTTTCATTTGTGCGATTTGGATTTTGAAGCAGCTTCGAATCTGTAAGAAGCACTAAAAAGCAAAGATTGTAAAGCAGCAGAATCACAGCCTGCAGTTCATTTTATTTGGAAAAATACCTTCAGACTAGAAGAGTCCTGCTTATCTTTTCAAACGAGGTGGTTTCAGGTCTTCTCATTAACAGAACATCACACAGTGTTGTTTTGTCAGAAGCCGCTGACATCACAGAGAAGCGGACATGTTTGCTGTGGCGGCAGTGCGGCGATGCGGCGATGCGGCGGTCTAAGCATTCGCAGCCTGTTAAACATCAACGCTGGTGCAGGACGCCTGCACTGACTGAGCCTCCCACAGCAACTTAGCTGATTTCAAACACAGCCAGACAACGGTGTGTTTGTCAGGTGACGAGTAAAGTTGGTAGTTCCAGCATGATTCTTTTTTTCTGTAACATCATTTAGTCAACAGTTGATGACCAGTCAGATAGAGCCACGCTTTTAAAGATGACACCTTCAAAGCATCAAAAGGTGCTTCATTTTGAACCAGTGCTGGTCCCTCGGTGCTTGTTACCCTTCCTGTTGGCTCGTGTGGCTGTTGGAGAAAAAGAAGCAGACAGTTACTCCTGTAGCACCGTGGACGAGTGGTTTCTCCAGAACGCTGCAGCCCACAGTCTGCATCACAGAGTTTGTCTCTCCTCAAAAACATTAAGTCTGTGGCTCGTGACGCTGTTAGGAGCCATCTGTAAACATCTGGGTAGTTCAAGTAAACATGCATTTAAATTTGAAAAAATAACAACACTCAAGCAAAAATAGATGTTTTTAGTGCTTTAATATTTCGATTTACTTTGAAAAATGGGACAGAGTCAGGTTTATCCCCGTGTGACAGCCTGGAAACGTCTGGGAACCGAGGAGAGACGTTTCTGGACTGGAGAGGAATGTTGTCCCGTTGTTGGCTGATAGAAAATTCTAGTTCTTCAACATTTTAGAGTTGTGTTCATAAAAGTTTTTGTTTGATGCTCCAAATGTTTCAGTTGGGCATTGGCTTGCTGAGAAATGCAAAGTCTCCCCTGGATGTTGCTCTGAAACCCGAGCGCGCCTTTCAGCACTGATGGTGCTTTTCCAGATGTTCAAGCTGCCACTTCCATAGACATCCATGCGTTCCTTTGCCATCAAACATGCAAACTTCAGAACAGAAATAAAGAGCTTTCCACTTTGTCCCAGTCCAAAAAGAAGAAGGTCGTGTTTCTGGGTCATGTTTCCATACAGCTTCTGTATGTGACCGAGCTTTAACCTGCAGTGCT